CCTGCATTTCAGTTCCACCTTTATCTGTTTATGCCATAACTTGTTTGAAATTTTCCAGATTTCACCTTTTCTACAGTTAATAATAGGCCAATGCAGAAAGTCATTTGGAAAGGAAAAGGAAACGTCATTTAGCAAATGTCATGAAAATCTATGTTAAAAATATAGAATAGTTATAAAAGTTTTATCATTCCTTTTAAAAACATACTGAAAAAGTAAAGCTTAGAGCTGCAAGTGCTCTTGTGATGGTTTGAAATTATATTCACTTGCTTACCTTCTCATCTCTTGTGCCTATCTACGGGTTGGGAAGGACTTTTGTCTATATACTCTTTTGCTATAGAGTCTAACTGTTAGAAATTTAGTGTGTTCCTCTAGCACTTAAATAAACAAACAGATAAATAATGTTAAGAACATTTGAGCTGAGAAACAAAAGAAGCTAGAATGTAATAAAATATTGTAGTTACGGACATTTGGTTTCTAATTATAATATGGCTTTACTACGTATCTCAAGCACAATGACTCTGCCAGATCCTATCAAAGCAACTGGATGGTTGCAAAAAGCCTTGAGGAGACCACTACTGAAATGGTATTAAAAGAAAAAATTCCATCTTTGTAACTGAGATTTTGGCTTGTTATCTCAATCATCAGCTATCCAGCACAAACATCATCTTAGAAACTCAGTGCCATGGGTAAAATATGTGGAGTTTGGATGTTATCATTCAGAATATTGAAAACTGGCAATTGATCTGGTTTTGTTTGTTTTGTTTTGTTTTTCCATCAGCGTTTCAAATTGAAGGTTTTTGGGTTTGGAACATCAATACTTAAAGAATTTTTCTTTTTTCTTTTGGAGAAAGAGTGTTGGAGAAAGAAAGTTCTTGTGATTTTTGTTCATATTTATATCTGTGATCAATGAATGGAGAGAGAACTATTTTCTCATGGAAAACTTGAAATGAAATGACTTTATGAAAAGTTTCACTTTATCAAAAGGAAATGTTTTGTCAAATTAGTTCTTACCAGCTGTACCTCTGTAGATTCAAGTCGATCCTGGTATAAAGGCATAATTTTTAAAAGGGTAGAAACTCCTACAATTAGTATGGTTTTGCCCATACACTGTTTTGTGTAGGCCAGATATATAATTATTTTGAAATGTGAAAACCTCTTAGCCATCTTCCCTGGTGTAAGCCCCACTGTGTGAGAAGTTCTTAATCAGTTGTATAGAAATACTGGTAACATTTGAGAATTAAATTACTCATCACCAAATTAAACTAATCTATGCTATACTTGAAAAACTTTTGCCCAGGAGTTGGAAATGAGAAGTACAGAAATATGCAACATGAAATAATTTTACATGGGTGAGGTCTAAGTAAAATTAAATATGGTAAGAAATTGGTTCTTTTAAAACTAGTTCACTTCATAAATGTAAACAGTTTACTTACCTACCATCACTAAACAATCCTGAGGACTACAGAAAATAAATAGAAATTAAGAGCCCTGGGAGAGAAAAAGGAAAAATGAAATCAAAATATCCGAATAGGGAAAGAAGCTGCAGGAAGAGGAAAGGAAAAGAGAGGAGAATAACTATTGTTTAAATGAAAGAAAATAAAATCTCTAAGATATAATGTAAGTTGCATCAATAGACAGTTATTAAATCCATATTTTTTATTAAGGAGTCTAAACATGCAACATCAGTTTCTAATCAGAGTAGGTGAACTGAGCGCTTTACATTGTATGCTTGTCTTATCAACCTTTGATTGCTTTTTAATTAGAGAATTCACTTAGATAATAAAAACAATGCAAGTATTTTTTGCATATAAATTAGTCCTAAGAGAGAAAAGAGATTGATCAAGTTGCTATTATTATGAGACAGATTTTTGGCCTCAGTTTAACAATTTTTCTATTAGTATTCCTCTCACTAACAAATATGTATTCAATAGATAGCAGATCTTCAGCTAGTACAAACTGGAACTGCTGTATAGTTTTCAGTACACTCACACTGATATACACCATCTTAGCATCTGGCTTATTGTTTCTATTACCATTTTTCTTTTACTTGACATTATTTCAATTTCTTTCTACCCAGAGATCTAAGTGGTGGCAGTTACTAATGTTAACAGCAGATAATAAAATAAGAAGAAATGGTTCTAATGGTTTCTTTGCCACTTTATGCGTATGCAAGAAAACAAAGACAAGGATGTTACTCTAATGAGATTGTAATCTACATTCTGTGTAGGCTGCCATCCCTTTTCAAATTTTCTAGTACTTCACATTCTCAGGTCTGTTATCATTTTTGTAAATTGTTTTGGGTGAAATTTTAGGAGGGAATATCGACCAAGTGCTCAGATGGACCAAGGGCAGAGCTTTCCTGAGTAAGCAAAAGAGTTGAAAGAGACTGCAACTAGGACCTAGTAAAAGGCATTGAGTCAGTTGTCTAATCTGGAGAAACAGCTGAAAAATGTGGAGAAGTTTGCTGCTGAAGATTAAACAATTTTGAAGAGCTTGGTAGAAAATGGAGAAATAACGTGGAGAACTGCATGAGACATGTTGGGTTTTGAAAAGATGGGAAAAGGCCAGAGGGAGAGGGAGTGAGACTATTAATATAGCCTAAAAGAGCCAAGTGGGGAGCATGAAGGTGATCTAGGACCTATGACAAGGTCAGAGAAAGTCTTGAAATGGGACCAACAGGAAGAGAGGTGGACATAAGAAAGGAGTGTTGGATATGGACTGGTGAGTGCAGTGAAATGCTAATTACAATAACATTGCAGCAAAGAAAATGAGAGTGAGAAGAACTCAAAAGAATGACAATACAGTGACTGAACTGCATCAAATGAGACATTTAAGCCTGGGAAAACAGACAGAGGGCAGAAGGATCATCTACAGAGTCCCAGCTCTATGTGATCAGTCAGCATTTATAAATCCACCCTGCTCCAAATTTCTATGTAATCCCCCCAAAACACTCACTATGTATGTCTCATACATTCAAAAACAAGCTCTGTGAATGCAGTGGGAAAATATAAAATTTGTTCACTTCTAAGAACAGCTCTGAGGAAAGGGAAGTTCCAGACATCTTTCCTTCTTTCTCTCTTCTCTGAAGCTGTTCTGCAGGATGCATCAGTTCAGTTCAAATGCAACTTCTGGAAAACTTTTACCAGCTTTGCATTTGTAAATATCTGATATAGCAGCTAGCAGTGTAAATGATTCCACTCTCTCCATTCTTGATGTTGGCATCATTGCTACTGCCTAGCAATTATAATGCTACTCCAGTCTCTTGTAAAAATAGAAATTATTTTGTACATCTTTGCTCCATCTTAAACCCAGCAGTATTTGCAGTTGTGGTCAAAATAACACCTAATCTATACATCCCATACTGCTTAAAATGGATCTATTGGTTGCTTATTACAGCATTGTAACTGTGAGTGTTTAATGAGCAGCGAATTACTGATGTAGGCAAAACAGGAAAATTTTTTAGTAACCAGTGTAACAGAAAAAAACAGCAAGTTAGAAAGAAGAGTCAGTGAAAGTAATGAAAATTAATGGGGGAAAAGTATCTTGACATCTTACCACAAGTGTCTATTGAAAAAGCAGCCTTTCAAACTATTTCTGTATCTTACTGCTGTGTAACTCATACAGTTATTTGTCTTTGAAAAAACATCAGTTTCCACTGAACCTTTTTTTCTCATTGCTCTGATTTCTTGCATTCTTAGAAAATATTGCTTTTGAAATACTGGTGTTCTTTTTCTTTCTTTCTTTTTTTTTTTTTAAACTTGCCAGGAGTTTTTGGTGTGTTTGTTGGATAATGAAATAACATTGTAACATTGATGCTTAGCACGCAACAGCTCTGAAATATTCTCCCCCCGAACATCTGATCTGATCGAAATACTGAGTGGTGCTTGTACTGAAAGAGATATGGAGCCTGGCTTGTTATAGCAGTACTCTGGCAGACATACTTGAAATAGAAATGCTGCTCTACCTTTACAACATGACTGCTTGAGTGACTGATGGACTTGTCACAGCACTTCAAAAAAACAGCAGGAAAAAAAAAAAAAACCACACATTTTCCTAACGAGTGGATAGTTTTTAAAGAAATCTTATATTGCAGCCCAAATATCACCCTTCTAAAAAAATAAGACCTATTCTCCAGATATGACTAATACAGCTCTGAATAGCTTTTATCTAAAGTTGAATTGCTCCCTCACTTATATTTGCAAAATTCTGTTGCATTAATGATACATCACAGTTCTTTGAGCAACATGACATTTATTATATCTATTTTTAACTTTTTCACTGTGGAGTGGTGATATTTTGATCACGTGTTTCCTGTAAATCTGTGTATTTTTGTTCAGGAATTATATATAATGTACACGTAGGTTGCCATGAAAGTATGATTTTCATGGAAAATATAACAGATATAAAGCATATAATAACACTACTTGTTATAGAAAATTCTCAGCTACAAACACTATTTTTCCACATAGTCACCACCATTAGCAATGCATTTTTGCCAGCAATGAACAAAAACCTGCATGCCATGCTCATAAAGAACTGCAATAGTGGAGGAGATCCACTGTTGCCACTGATGAAACGCACCATCCACTACCTCACTGTGCTCACATTCACTGTTTGGTCTCCAGAAACATTCAGCAAGCATTGATGAATGTCATTGGGTGCCATTTTTTCCACATGGAGAAATTCAAATTCTCACCTTTGCTTCATACACACTCTTATGTCAGACACCATTTTGTCAGACAGCCCCTCTGCTGCCATCTGTCACATGGCAAGAAAATGTAATGGAATATTTGTGGGAAGGTCCAGCTTCTCTTGCCATAGCACTACTATCTGCCTCTGTTGTTGTGGGCCACCATAATAAAACAGGAGCCGTTCCAAAAGTGATGCCTCTTGTAGATGAGCTTGTATATTGTTGGTTTGTTTTCATGAGTTTACATTTTAAAAAATTATTTATGAAAGGACTGACTGAAAAGGAGTGACAGATTAGAAGTTGCCATCTCCTTAAAGTGAAACTTTGGATTTATGCAAGACAGAATGGACAAAACAGATCTTAATTTCTTGCAACATTTAGGACTATTCCCTTCTTTCCCTTCTTTTTATTCATTGCCACAGCACTCAAGCCTTACACTCTTCTAACTTAACAGCCTTCGACAAGAAACTAAGGTGTTTGCAAGCTGCTTTACTTCAGGAGTCAGAGGAATCTGTTTGGTCTCTTGACTGCTTCCATGCTGAAAGGAATCTGGGCTTTCAAGCAGCCTTTGTTACATAATTCAAAGGCTGTATAAACTGTAGCGCTAAATTAAAAGGATCTGAAAAAAAAAAAAAAAAAAAAAAGAGTAAAAGAAAATGTACTAAGAAACTTCGAATGATAGAATGGAACTGCTAAAACTCAAGAAAGCTCATATGACATTTTCCCTTGCATGTAATGAGGACAAGTAAATGGAATACATCAGTTATTTTTCATGGTTGGCCAATTTTACAACATCTGATGTGCCTAACTTGTACAGAAACTTAAGTAGTACTGCTCTCCATTCTAAAAATATATTTCAGATATTTCTGATTTTTATCAGAGCAGACTGATCTGAGGCTGAAAAGTCCACTCTTTAACTTCAGAAAATCAGTTCCCAATTGGATTTAGAATAAAATAACTCAGAGTAAGAGTATTGAAGATCAAAATTTCACTCTCTGCCTTCTGATGCACAATGGGAAATACACATTTCTGGGCAGTCTCTGATCTTCCAAACAGGAGTAAGACTCTGAAAATGCATTAAAAATCCCAATAGCCTACAGCAGAAGGGCCATAGAACTCCATTCAAGACAAATAAAATAATATGTAGTGTGGTACTTTCTCTGACAGAAGATTAGTTTAGGCAATGCCGAGAAAATAAGAAATGTGCGATTGAATAAAAGAAACAACATTATTACTTAAAATTTCAGAGCATTATTAGTGCACAGGCACAGAGAATTATGACAACCCTGCTAGCAAATAAGGATTCTTCACAAAGATACAGACAGTGTTCCCATAGTAGCAAAGCTGACAGCAAGGAAATGAAATATTACTTCCCCCAAGTTAGGTGTTGGTTTATAAATCATGGTATTGATCTGGGATTTTTAGTAATTATAAGATTATACTCTGAAAAGCACAAGAAGATATTTAGATACTTTCTTTTATATTTTAGAATATACAATAATGCATTTTATCAAAAGTATTTCTCCTACTATGAAATTATGCCTGTATCATGAATGTTTCCTGAGGAACAAATTGTGATTTCAAATAACTATGAGTCTAGCAAGAGTCTGGGATGCCAAACAAGCTGACTGTAAAGAGGTACCAGTCCTTGAGGAACTGGGACAGAAAACTGAAAGCCTTAAAGACAACAGATGTCCTTCAAGCTGAGTGCTGCACAACCTACTTTCAGCAGTAAAATAAAATGGGAAAAGCTACTGACTTGTGACAGAAGAATCCAAATTGGTGAAGATGGATTGGTATAAAAACTTCTTTGGAGGACTGAGATTATCTGACACCCAATGAAAACAGCTTGCCAGTGCTTATAAAAGAAACTAGCAAGTTGTCTTAACAGTACAAATCTTATAAATCATGTTAAAAATATAGAGCTTACCAGTTGAATACATGCATACGATAACATTGATAGTAGCAAGCACATTCTCTAGAGCATATAATAAGAACATGAAGAAATCTGATAAAAAAAAGAAACTGAGTAAGTGTGGGTGAAGCAGCATATGTGGATAGTGAAGCAATCAGGCAACTAGGACAGGTGGTTGGAAGCTCATGCTGATAGCCATTACTCTGAAGTCACAAGGGAATCTCTTAATTCTGCTTATAGACAACAGTAAAAAAGTACATTTAACAGGTTATATGAAGATTGTTAAGAACATGAAAAGAAAAAAAGTCAACAAAACCACACCACAGAGTCATTTTTATTCTGTCCTCTAACGAGTAACTACATGGGGAAGTGATCAGGACACATTATGAAAGATAAAACAGAGGTCAAAAGAAGAAGAATGCATGTTGGTGATGACAAACCAAAGTAGGAATACGTGGAAAAAAATGTTTTCGTGACTATTACTCAGTTTTCTATGAAATAGTTTCTTCTGAAAGAGAGAGTGACTGTGCCTGTTGAAGACAGTTAACTGTCAGGTGCAGCATACATGGTGTAATAGTTACAATATACAGATTTAGATGACATCAGCTTAAAGAACTTCTAGTAACTTTTTTTTTGTTATATCATAGAAAGGAAATATCCAAATTTTCATTAACCTCAGAAAGTATAATCTGATGGACTGGTAAATTAAGGAGTAAAGATAATTGCAGAGAAAGATTCAATTTGTTGTTTTGTTGTTTTTTGGGTTTTTTTTCAGGGTTGATATGCATGGCAGATGAGGTGAATTTCTGATTGCCACATTCTGGCATTCATCTAAATCGACACCAGGAAAAAAGAGGATTTTGTCATTAGTAATTTGAGAAGGAGTAACTCAGCATATGCAGAACTGTAAGGAGAAAAAGTCAAATATAGCAACAAGAGCTAGGGCCTGGAAGCATGATGATTTTGAGTAAACAGTGAGATATGAATTTCTAGCAAGTGTCATGACCGCAGGCAGTAACAGTTGTCCAGCTGCCTGCTCACTGCCTTATAAGGTTGTTATCTCTCCTGGACACATCTTGAGGATGAACAGGCTACTGTACTTTCCACAGCAAGCAGAAAATAAGAGAAAATGTGCTCAAATTTGTCTAAGGTTACAGACAGATAAAAGTTGCAGACAGGTATGTCTCAAGACATTATACAGTCAGAAGAAATGAACTTAATACCAGAGTCCCAAAAGCTAAGTCCTACAACTTATGTATGCATATCTTTTGAATTGAATCTAATTTTACATCAGGACTTTTTTTGGGGGGCAGAAAAAGGAATAGAACAAACAAGGATATTTGTGCTAGGGTAGGACACTAGAAAGATAAGGGTAGGTGAGGGGGAAATCAGAAATCAGTCACAAGGGTAGGAGTTACAAGATCCTGCCTAAAATAGGATTAATCAAATTACCTTCATGTACTAACTTTTATCTCAGGGATGAGTGAGGCATAAGAACCTGAGATTGTGTCAGAGAGTTATTCAAGTTGCAGAAGGGAAATACATATTAGTTTTCAGCCATCTAATGAAAATAATAATAATCAGATAAATACTGAGACATGTTACTGATTTGCTGTGTACCCTTAAAGGAATCTCTGTTGTTCAGACATATGTAACACAAAGGCTTAAACATACGAATGCACAAAGGTCTTCTTTTGAAGTCTTTTCCAATATTTTCCCGAGAACACTAGCAGAAAATGTACAGATACACTGCGCTGTCATCTCGTTCAGGGGATGCTTGAAGGATTAATTACTTAATGTTTATACAGCACTTTGAAGATCAAAAACATGATATAAGCACCAAGTTCTATCATAAGAGGCAACAGGAAGCAGAAAATGAGAAACTTCCATCTCATGAAAGGAAAGAGTCCAGTGATGGTTGGCTTTCAAGTGTTCCCCTCATTTATGAAGTTGTATATTCAGGGAGGCTGTCATTTATTCTTTATGTTGCTAAGGCTTACATGTTAACAGCTGTGAACTGGAGCTAGTAACAGCACTCCAGGCTGTTAGACAGCTGGAAAGAATATTATGGCTACTCAGCTGTACCTTTCGCTTTTTTGCAAAGGAGGGAATTGTAGGGAAGAGGATTCAGTAAGACCATGTTTTGGTTGTTTTAATCCTGCCATGGATATAATTATTCAAAAGTGCAAAATAGTGGTAGAGGCTAAGTATCAGGAGATTTTTTCCATAGTACATTCTTCATCACATAAAACCTGTAAGTCACGGTTGTTCATCCTCTGGTATGATTTGTTAGCTTCTGAACATGTGGATGTTTGTCTTTGTGGGCACACTGGAGTCAAGACCAATAGCTGTGGGCCAACAGTAACAATGGCAGAGATTTCTGGTCTGTTAGGAAAAATGTGATGGTCAGGAATTCTGTTCAAAACCAAGTAGTATTTCCAAATGGAAAAGGAGAGCTTGTTCAAGAAATCTCAGAAATGGAATTTCATTCCAACCTGCTTTATGCAAAAGGTCACATTAGATAGTTAGCATGGTCTACACTGGGCAGCCCTCACGGTGTTACAACAGCAGAAACTCCTTCACAGAAAATGTTCTCTCCTGACAGAAACTCAGATCAAGAAAGCAAAGCTCTTTCTGACTTGCTAAGCTCTTTTTCAATAAAATATTTCAAGAGGTGTTCCTGCTTTCTAATCTGTTCTCAGTGAGGCTTCACTTTTCTTTTGAGTGTTTCACTCTCCTGACTCAACTAAATATATTATTTTAATTTTATGTGTTGGGTAAAAAATAAAAGAAAGATTTCATTAACAGCCACTGGCATTTTAGTATTCAGCCTAGCATTACATACACTCCCAGTTGTATTTGCTACTGGTGAAATTGCAGCCCAGAGTTCTTACATCTTTTATGCTCCACAGTGCAGCACACATACCCTTAGGAAAAACAAAGCACAAGTTTAAAATGCCTTCAGGGCAGTGTTCAGTACCTCTGTTGAGATATTCCATTGCTCCATTTGCCTCATCAAAGTACCTCAAGCTGAACTCTTTCTTCTGTAAGTAACAGAAAAATCATCAGGTTTATCTGAAGTGAAGATCTTTGGGAAAGGCAACTATATTTTGTCTTACAGTAAACCCTGAACTAACTTGACTCTCAGATGCATCGTATCATAATTAATTAACACAAGAATATGCCAGCAGAATACTTGGTTCGCTTCAGATCCTTTTCCTGTGTTCAATAGTCCTCGAGGACGGTCAGAAAGACCTTCTCCCATTTAACAGGTTGAAGATAGATGCTTGGCCATTATGCAGAAGAATTAAGTGCTGACCCCATTACATTTTGAACATAACACCACTTAACCCAAACACATCTGCTAGGATAACTTGGATTCAAGCAGCAAGTCTCAATACATTAGATAAGAAATACGCTCAAAAGTCTCTTTAGATGTAGACTACCAATAAGCGCTGACCTTATAGTAACTATAACTTACTAGAAAAGCTGGAGCATTTCCCAGAACAAAGTCAGATAGGTTCAAAGCCTTGTTCAGTGAAAAAAAAAAAAAAAAAAAAAAAAAACACCATCCTGGAAATAATGAGTCTTTTCAAATTCTCAAATTAAAAGATTTTAAATCTTTTTCTTTTCTTCTTCTCTTTCAGCAAAACTGTGTCAGATTTACCAGTTGCTAAAAGTTTAAGGTTTGCACAGAATAAAGAAGGCAAGTTCATCATCTCTCTCCACCCTAAGAGAAAGCACCTAAAGATATTAATGGTTTCAAATGGCTGTGGGGAAAGTGCAATATGAGTTTAAATACGAGGATTCCAAAATGCCAAGTATTCTTTTTTTTTCCATTGTAAAACAGGAGGGGGAGTATTTTTTTTATGTGTATATTTTAATGTGAAAAGGACACTGTGTTGCAGGTCTATAATTTATCTCAGTAGTGCACAGACAGCTGGATATAACTTTACCTGGCTGCATAATATTGAATGCTTGTCCTGAGCAAAATCTTACAAAACAAATAGAGCTAAAAGGCAGACTTGTGTGAGGCTGCTATTGTGTAGCTAAAATAGGAAACACAATGCAGAGGAAGGATCAGGTATCTAAGTATATTGCAGCCTACATGCAGGAACACCACGAAGCAAAGCATGAATTGGGAATGAAGACCTGGAAAGAGTTGTCCAACTCATGAAATCCTGTTCCTTGCTATTGCTTAACATTCACACCTTCCTCATGTTTCAGGATGTTAAAAAAAAAAAAACCCACTACACACAAAAAAAAAAACAAGTAAACTACTCAAGAAAAATAATACCCACTGTGCTAATGTACATCAGAAAAATAAAGCAGAATAAAATCTATGCAATTCCCAGTCAAAAGCCTACAGAGGCCATAAAACTAATAGACGCAAAATTCAGGGGATTTGAAAGAATGTGAGCAGATTTCCCTTAGCATGTAAAATTTTTCACTGCACTACTGATGAGTTAATATTCAGATAACTATGTCAGGTGAAATTGCTTAATTAGAGCTCTAATTAGTTTCCTACCACTCCAAAAAAAAAGAAAAAAATAATTCTTATTTTAATTAAGAATTAATTTTCAATAAGCAGTTGATTCTATCAGTCACCAACAGCTACATGAAGGATGGCATATTTATGTGTTTATATTTTTGCATCACTACATATTCACATCCACAATCAGGTTGGATGTGTGACATATTTAAGGCTCAGTTCTGACAGATGCTCAATCGCATGAGTAATCCCCTGACTTTCCAGGAGTAAGTGTTTGTGGTGCAGAGTCCCATTTAGATTTCACAGCTATTATGTGAATTTCCATTATGGCTCAAGCCCCACGTACAGTATTTCCCGTGTAGACTAAGAAGACACATTTCCTCTCTCTAATGCACTGAATCTCAGATAGCTTATGGGAAGCAAAACAGCTTTTATGGAGATTCTCTGCCTGGAGACTACCTGTAAACCTGTTACTTGCTGCATTATTCTGAGAGATGAGAGACATGGAGAGAAGTAGCACATAAACAGGCCTGCTTTCTTACCTCTCAGGGGTGTCTTCCCTACACTCCAACAGCCCTTAGGAAAACAACTGGCACTGGTGCATTTGGACTGTGTTCTTATTCAGTTTGCATTGCTTTGGAGAGAAAGGCAGAAGAACAATTTACTTGGTAGCTTAACTGCAAGCTAGATACAAGACAGCGCAGGAATATAGAAAAACATGCACAGATAACCTCCCCATAAAAAAGCCAAACAACAAAAAACAACTCTGAATCATATTCAACTTTTAGATATCTACCTGGCATGCAAGCAGGTTTTGTACAATTTTGTACTTGGCATTTTTAATATTCCCTTAGGCAAATACATCTCTTTTGGATCCAACCATATTTTGTTCATTTTTTCTTCTGCTGTGCACCATCCGGAAAACATTCAGAAAATAAATTGCAGTAGCACTGCAAATTCCCACTCTCCCATAGGCCTTCTTCACTCCTATCCAAAGATGTTTGTCTTCACCTTCTGAAAAGGTACTCCCAAAAATTTCTGTCGTAACAGCTTGGTAAGAATTAGCCAGTTACTACATTGTGAAACATAACCCACTTCTAAAAAAAGCAGTCTTGAAAAGAATGAAAATCTTGTTTTGTGTTATTCCAAGCTATTCTTTTTGTTCTTTTAAAGTGCAGTATTAATGAAATGATGATTTAAGAGTTATTCTACACTTCCCTCTCTCATTACATTTAATCTGGCTTTGTTAATTGCTAAAACATTTAAAAATCATTAAAGCAGTTAGTTCCTTATTAACAAACATCTGTTATTTCCAAACTTCTAGTGGACTGAAAAATTGATATATAGTGAGAACATCAAAGACACCAAGATATCTTTTAAGTACACTTTCAACCCAGGCCACCATACAGCCCCTTGTACATGCTATCTTCCTAAAATATTACCAGAATCTTCCCCTCCCTGTAAAGATGTTTTTTCTTCACCTGGCCAAAGTGGCTTCATTTAAACTGATGAAGTGTTGTCTGGTCACTAGCTCAGCAGCACTAAGCATACCTGGATCAAGATCCCGCTGCTTGCGGGTGTGATAAAGTAATGGCAGATGGGGAATTAGATCCAAGTACTTTTCTCTACACATATATAATGGTCAGAATTGAAGCTTCTAGACATACTCTCAGGCCTAAGAAGAATTTACGCTCCAAATACATGGTATTTTTAATATGGAACTACAAAAATACTAAAAATCCTAAAAAAATTCATGGTAATCCATAACAATTAAGGATTGTTTTAATATGGACAATAATGTAGATTATTTTATGTTGATTAGTTCAGATATGAAGTGAAAATTAATTCTGCCTGTTATTAAACTAACATTCCCATCCTGGACCACCTGAAGAGTCTGAAGTATAAAGACTCCATCTGGAAATTCAAGATACACTAACATCAAATGTGTTACTACTACTGGAAGTCCATAACTCTTGCCTGAGCCAAATGAGAGTGCATACTTCCTCTGCTGCTTACCTAGTGTTTTAGTGGTTGTTTTTGTTTTTTTTTTGCTTGTTTTGTATTGCATGATAAAAAGTATGCCCAGGGAGGTTGTGGATGCCCCGTCCTTGGATGTGTTTAAGGCCAGGTTGGACGGGGTCCTGGGCAATCTGATCTCTGAATGTGTATGTTTGGTGGCCCTGCTAGGCAGGGGGGTTGGAACTACATGATCCTTGGGGTCCCTTCCAACCCGGGTGATTCTGTGATTCTGTGTGGCTCAGGAATGTAGGGATATCAGCCCAGAGTCTAGGACAGAGTTTGCTTTGTTGTGTAGATGAATAACCACAGTGTTTATTTTAAAATTAGTTCGACTTCAGAGCATTCCAGATCTATGCAATTGCATATAAAATTCCACACAGACACCTCTGCTATGGATAGACTGATCAGTAATATTTATCTGTCTCACTGTCCTTGCTAGAACTTCCTCATGTTTACCTCATTATAATTCCATTTGGTTTTCAGATCTCTGGCTTTTTCTTATCTTGATTAGATTATACTTGGAAGTTTCTATTTTGAAGTCTATTCCATATTTCCTGCAGCATTAAAAACATTTCCTAAGCAAAATTTATTTAAGAATTAACTCAGTTTGGAGTCTAATAATGCATTGTAGGCGTCAAGGATAGGATGAATATGGGATGAAGGTGTCAGCTTTGAATCACACTGTGTACGGTGACCTCTGAGACTTGCAGCCACCAATTCTGTGAATTTTAAAGTAAGGCCCTTGTTGTGAAGAATGCTTTATCAGCTTCTTTACGTATAGTTTGCATTGCCTGTGTGTAGTTGTTTTTCTAAGAAAGCTGGCATCCCCCATCGCTCCTGAATATAGATTGATAGTTTGCAAATTAAACAAACAGCATTTCAATTTCCCCTCCACTCCTAAGGGCTGAAAATGTGAATTCAGGCTTTGAATTTTGATTTCCAGTTAGATCTTTCTATTCTTAGATCCAAAAACACTGAATATCCATCAAGGTCATTCACCTTCAGGAATTCCTGATAACAGGACTCATGCTATAACGGTTTTTTAAGCCAGCACTGAAGGTCACTTGGCAACAAAGTTCTTTCATCTATCCAAAATGTAAAATACTACAGTTTTTTGTTTTGCTTTTTTAAGAATAACTAGAACAGAATGAGCATGTGTATAAACAAAGAATATTAGGATGCTATAATCACAAAAAAAAACCAAGAGAGTTAGGCAAAGTAGACTACAATAACAAAAGAGAATAAATGGAAGGCTTACCCTTATCCTGGGCTCATCTACAAAACACCAGCAGAGGCAATCTCCAGAAGAGACACTTCCCAACTGGTAGCCAGCTCTTAAATAGGTCTAGGAGAGGTGGAGCCAGGCTCCACACCTTCTGGCAGCACAGGTGAATTGCCTTCACCTGTGCTCCTCTGGCTGACTCATGGCTCGCCTCAGATGATCAATCAGAGGTTCAGGCCATGACTCAGCAGTTCCCATACAGCATGCTATTTCTTAACTTTCAATATGAAAAAAGGCATTGCTATTTTAAATATACTAATAGCAATGCTATATGTCATTACTTGTCATCTTCTGTCATCCTTTCCATTAACAAAGATGAATGGATTTATTTCACTCAGCAAAGAACAATACACTCAATAGTTTTTCAAGTACACCTCAAGTATGTCACATACATAAAATCATATCTTCATGCTGACTGTAATAGAAGAAACAGGTTAATTTCCATCTCATTCACAGTCCATTTATTATCTGCAAATGTAAAATGCTCTGATTCCATAATCAGTTTGTTTGTATTTATAAAAATCACATAATGGCTCTTGTACAGATAGTAATGACAAACCATATGTAAAATGCTTGTAATCAACAAACAAGGAAAAATGTTTCCTGACTGACCTACTCTGTCAGATTAAACATACATCCCTCTAATTTTAACAAGGACAATTCACTGTGCCCTGAGACAAGTTTGTTGTTGGTCACTGTGCCTTGAGGGCCCTCTGAGCCATGAGCTGCAAGAATTAATGATCAACTCAACCAGCTTAGACGTGATCTGACAGTGCAGAAGCCTAACAATTGCTGCAGAGGTGCATGGACAGAAGTAAACTTTCTTCATGTGCACTACTCAAAATCTTAAAAGCTTTGTAAATGTCAGCAAAAATCCTTGCAAATTAAACATGCTTTTTACCATTAACAGATACAACCTTCCACTCATATTGATATTTTGCTATATTGATATTACAGATCATTAGCTGGTTTCCTCCTCAAAGTGTATGTCTGTTCCTTGAGCACTAAGACTACTACATGCTGAACTGCTTGTTCTATACACTTCTGAGTTTAGTAAACCTCAACTGAGCTTAGCAGACTGTTGAAAGCGTTTTTACCACAGCCAGCATTAAAATTTTCTTCAAAATATATCATTTGATAGTAGATTTCTAGTCTCCAAGTCAATGTAAGGTATTGCTTTGTCTTTTAAATTCTCTATCTCAGTCCACAACTCAGTGTGATCTCTTGGAAAAGGCAGTTTTATGTAAGTTAGAAACATCTGTATGTTTTATAACAGTGATAATTTCTTATGAAAAAGTTATATATTTTTATTATATAAGACACACCGCTAGATCATAAGGGATGCTTGGCAATTCAATGCCTGCAGTGTACTTAGTCTAGTTCAGTGTGTTTGCCTAAGCAAAAATTTCTTTAAAATTGTAAGTTGTGATAATGGTGTTATTGCAAGACAGTTTTGCCAGCTACAGCGAATGATTTCTAAATGCCGCAGCATGATTAAGGAGTAAGACACAACAGGTTATATTGCAGTGTTGGAGCCCTAGGTGTGCTGAAATTACCTTTCAACAGCTCACCCAGGAGTATCTCTGAGAGTTTATAACATGACAACTTTACTGTTTTCTAAAAAAGAACAAATGAAGTCATTAAAAAATATTTTTCTCCCAAATAAGCGCCCTCCATCACCCAGTATGCAGTCACTAGGTTTAATGTGCTTTTCTGCAGAAATATTTCAAAATGATCTGGAGTTCCCTTTCTTGCTTTTGTGTCAATAGGAAGATTTCTTGCAGGAATCCTGGTTCTTTCTGAATGCAGAACAGCTGCCCAACATACCTACCATCCAGATTCTACAGAATTGCACTACCAACAGTCAATCTATGTTGTCTAAAAGTTTTGCTGAAAGCGCTTGCTGTTTCAGTCTATTTGTTCTTTTCTTTCTGTTTCCTTCTTCAATGAGCAACTAATACCACAAACCTCACTAAGTGATTGCCCTGTTGTGTCTGATCTCTTAGGAACTGTTTTCAGTGAACAGCTTTTGGAAAGCTCACAACATAACACCCACCAAGTTTTCATTATATAAATATACATATATTTAATTAAACAATGTAACAAACTAGTATTGGGCTTGTTTGGGGGAAACAGATTCTAGGAGAACAAGTGGAAAGCATAAATGATTTTTCCATGAATTTGTACATTGTTTACACATACCGACATCATGTTACATTGACCCCAGCCCAGAAAAGCGTAAGGCCTTTACAGTAACTAGGTGATAGCTCAAAATTACAAATAGAATATATGACTTAAAAAATGTAAAGTCTAGCCACCTGGCCCAGGCACTGATCAAGACGCTTTGCTATCAGCCTACCAGCATAGTACATAAGTATTTGGTTCACATCTCACTAGAGAACATCAGAAGCTATAGAACTTTTCCGCTCTTCCCTCTTCTCTAGCAGAGGGTGCTACTGGTGCTTAGCTGAGTTGAGATCTGAGCTGTTGTGTACCAGAAAGCAGCCCAGGGAGTGGACATGTCTCAAATATCACCTTTATAGCCTCCAGACAGCATGGGAGAATACTGAACTCTCAGCAGCCCTACCAGAAACATGCCTTCTCTATTGTATCCCAAGAGTGCAGCCAGCAGCCAAGGAAAATATGCAGATAAGTTATATAACGTAAAGGGAATGATAGTTAAAGGTTAAAGCAAGTTGCAGAAAATAAGAGTGGGAAGAGCTGAAGCACAAGGGCAGCAGGTTTGGAGCCTTTCATTAAACCTACTTTAAATGTTAAAGTATATCAGACCTACCAAGTTCTGCAAATGTGAGATAAGCCACGGTGCCTCTGTAGTTTCCCCATCACTGCTTTTTTATCATGTCCCACTTTTTATTATATCTGCACATCAGTTCTCAAGTAGACTGCAAAATCCTAAAGAATTAGGACTATATGTGTGTATGTAGTTTGTCCAACACCAATGAGGTCTCAGGGCACTGCAATCCACTGTAATGAGCAAAAAGCATGGAAGCAGAAATAGGGCAACCTGTGTGGGCTCTTAGAAACAAGTCCAAGGATTTGTTGACCTGTGATTTCTTCAGCCTGTGTGTGCAGAATAAAAGGGACTTTGGGTTACTCTTTAACAGTAGCTACACCTTTTAAACTCAGGCATATAAACTAAATTAAGAAAAGCTAAAGGATTAACACAATCATTGTTTGCAATGGTTCTGATTCTTTAAAGAAAATAATGGATTTTTCTTATGATGGACTGTTTTGGTGGTGCTGCATCAGTAGTAACGACACAAACTTTATATCTGTTTCAGTGCAAACAAGTTTTTATTTTTATACACCTAGGTGGGCAGTTGTTGCAAGCATTTGAATTCTTTCTACAATAATTAAAGGTGTTTAGCTCTTTCCACAATCTCTAAACCATCTCCTATAATACCTTTCCCTTTTATTTGAAAGATATTCCAATTTAGATAAAATGAAAATACTGCTCTCATACAAGAGAACAGCACACTCTGTAGCATAGCACAGTGTGTGAAAATTGATTCAAGTTTCCTTTTTCTCTGAGTTTGGCTCACACGCTGCTGCTAGAAAATGAACTTAAAATTAACTAGAAGTAAAATAAATCTATCTATCTCACCATACAGTTCATTCTAGACATGATTTTGAGTCCTATGGGGCTCAAATATACATTACAGTTTAGAATTAATTAAGTCTTGGTCACCTTTAGCTGTATGTCCTTGATGTTTTAGGTCAAGTATTTCCTGTCAAGATCTCAAACCGAACACCAAAATATATAATATACGGCTTTGTCAGTTTTATCATGGAGGCACATTTTACCCATTCAGTAAAAAAATAATGGATCAAGTGGAAAATATTCTGAACAAATGTTTATCAGTCCACAGAGGTGGCTTAGGATCCTCTGTCCTCTTTCATTCGCCTGTACATACAAAGACTTTTTTATTTTTTTTTGGTCAAGAAAAGACTTCAATGAACACTAGAAAAGGCAGGTGAAATATTGGATTCTAATTCTAACCATATGTGCTATGCTTGCAGTTGATTCTCTTAGGATAACGAGAAGAAATTTTTCAGCCTATTTTACCTAATTAAGGAGCAGATCATGCACAGCAGCCAGGACAAGGGTCAGTATGGTTGCCACCTGCCTGGGAAAAGGTGTCCCAGCAACCGGGCTGTTAACACTGCAGGGCAGAGTGGTGATGGCTTCTCAAACTCTCTAATTGAGGTTCTTCAGATTCACATTAAATCATTAAAAGACTCATTGCACACAGGTGTTCCACCTCCCTAGCATCCCTTTTCTGCCAGGATGAAGTATCATTCCTAAGGACTCTTTGACCTGATTACTATTTTAAAAATATTAAATTTATTTTTAAATATATTTAAAATTTTAAATATATTTAAAAATATTCAAGAACAAATACTTCTGATAAGTGAGATTGAGGAAGACTTGCCCATATGGTCTCAGCAATACATTACTGTAGACCTCTTCCGAGGGCTTGAGAATCTGCTTTCCCTGCTTCGATTTTGCTGTAAGTAAATCTGGTGGTGTCTCTTAAACAAATATTCCAGCTGCCAGCTTATGGAGCTATTGATATTCATTTCAGTCAGTTTTGAATTTCAGCACAGGAATACACACAGGAATAAGATCAACACGAGACTGAGGGCACTTCAGTTAGTGTCACTCCCATGAGGCACAGAAAGCGAATTAAAGGGTATATAAAAAAGTCTGTCTGGGCTGATAGAACCAACAGTACTGTGGGTTTGCACTCCAGATAAAATAAATTGATATTGTCTCCCAAACTAGCAGATAATTTCTGCCTGAGTTTTCACATGCACACCCATGTCTAGGGATAAGAGGGTAGTTCTGGTTTCAATACCAGTAATTGCAACATAATTTTTCTCTAAGTGCACCTTCACTTGATTGTAGCTGAAATGAGACCCTACTAGTATTTAGTACAACCCCAGCTGGATTTATATTACCCTAGAGAAAACAGCATTTCATCCAAAGGCTGCTG